CACAGCGGGAATTCTCATTGACTTTATCTCGCCCTTTGAACAAACTGTGAACAATCTGGCTATCAAACTGGGTCATTATGTTAGTGTCATACTAAATGAGTGTGTTTACCCAGCCATTTGTCAGTCAGGGTCTATATATTTACTACGTGTCTTTATGTTGTTATGGACCCCATGCAGAAATGGTAAACCAAAATAACTCCATATATCAAATTATACCAAATGAAGAAATCATCAACAAGAACCCACTTTTTTCTTTTGTTCATTTTGTGAATGAACACTCAGGTGCTACCTTAAATATAAATTTTCACTTGAAATAGTCTGTTTCACAAAGATATCTCTTATACACCCACAACCACCTGCATCGCTCCCCACACAAATATGGCATAATGTAGCTACATGCTTTGCCACTCCTTATTAACAAAGGGTAGAGCAGGAGTCCAACTTTACATGTTTTCACCTTTCATTGGCAAGGCACATATGTACAAACCCTCTCTTGGGTCATGACAGCCCACATCATTACCTGATTCCTTTTCAACTGAACTCTAGAACCTGCAACTCCTATCCCTGAAGAAAACAAATAGAAGATACAGGCTCTCCTTCAAACCACGCATCATCCTCACTTAGGAAATATATTGCAGTTCCATTGTTAGGTTAGAATCCTGACGTTCTCTTCCTCGCACTGCTATAGGTGTCCCTATGAACTAAGGACCACAACAGTTCAAAAAGAAGCTCACCACCACCTCCTTCAGAGTAATTAAGGATAAGCAATAAATGCTGGTCAAGCCAGTGATGGCCAAATTCCATGAACATTTTTAGAAAAAGGATAAGGAGAGATTAATAAATCTGGCATCAGAGAAAACAGGAGCAGGCTTTTAAGAACACGAATAAAGTTAATTGACCGATAACAAATGGATATTTATTTGGCTTTGTTGATATCCTGGGTTTTTTAATGCTGAAAAGGATAAATTCTGAAATAGTGGTCAGATCATTTTTTTTTTTAAGAAAAAAAAAGGCTCCAGTTGGTTAAGGCGTGAAATTTGTGTTCAAAGATTCCTAAACACAGATTATGAATGTGGAGTAATAAACATATTACAGTTTGGTGGGGAACATGATGGGTGGGGAAAGGTTTGTGCCAGAGTGTTGAAAACAATTGGAGGAGCTTTGCTGAGAGTATGTGTGATTCGACAAAGTCTACTGAAGGAAAGAAAACAATTTAGCAAGTTTTTAAATGAAGACACCCTGCGGCCAGGGAGAAATGAAACCATGGTCTAATTGATCCTGAGATTTTTAAATTGTCAATAAAAAATCCAATGCTGATCTAGAGAGACAATTATTTTTGGTGCACTCTTTGAAACATTTTCGTGAATCTGGTTGAAAACCCTTGCGATTCTAGAACTTCCAAATTGTTAGAAGGCTAATTTCAATGGGACGAGGGGGAATGTAACCAGGGTAACATGAAGTCATAGAGCATTTTAACAGTGATCTTTGAAGAGATATTTTACATACAGGCTAAGTATATTCCAACAGGAGCTGAAGGTAGAGGAAGTTTTTGGCTCCAGCAAAAGCACAGTCATAGAATATCTTGAAACAAAAGATGATACATATTGGGTAAAAGTTCACATGACAACCAGGCCAAAGACAAAGTCAAGAGGTGAAATAAAGTGGAAAAGAAGATTGACAAGAAAACAGGAGAACAGAAATGACAGTCAGCATAAAAGGAAACCCAAATATTTTTGACCAACATGTACAGAGTAACCAGGTGGGAACAGACAGTGAGGCAAGGGTAATTATGTTCAGAAACACTGGTCAAGGCTCAAATGCTTAATTAGTGCTTCATATTGATACCAAGGAGAAGGAATCTTTCAAAATACTGGTGGAAGCAAGGGATTGGATAGATTGAGAATTGATAGAAAGGAGACAATCTATGCTTAAAGTTGATAAATTGCCCGGATCTGATGCCCTGCATATTAGATTGCTAAAGGAGGTAAAGTGAAGGTTATGGAAGGGCTCGCCATAATCTTCCAATCTTCCAGTCTTCCTGAGAATTAGAGAATGACAAATGTAACACTCTCTCTTAGTCATGAAAATGTGCAAGAATGTTCCTAGAAACAATAGGTTGGTCAGATTTACATCAGTGCTGGGTAAGGTTTTAAAACCAATAAAAGGGAAAAAATACATCTTAAGTTTTAATGAATTGGTAGAAAAGATCAATATTGTCTGACAAACAGCCACTTAAATGCCTAGTTGACAAAACTGAGACTCGATAAATAGTCAGGAGAGTTTCAGTTTGGACAAAAAATTGGCTTAAGGAGCAAAAGCAGTAGATTTTCAGAAGGTGTGTGGTAGGCAGTCATTTTCCTCATGTATAAATGCTAAGACTGCCATCTTTTTGCTACATATAAATGATTTGGATATTGAAATACAGAATAACAGTTCAAAATTTGCCAATGATACCAAATTTGCAGGTGTGACAGATGGGATGACACCAGTTGCATGAAACAGGACACAGGAATTGTAACAGAATGGGCAGGTGAGAAGCAGATGGAATTTAATACAGAGAAGTGTTAGGTGGTACTCTTTTCAGAGGAGATAGGGAAAGTGAATGTAGACTTAATGACACAGTTGTAGAGTCAGTGGGACCTGGGAGTTCTTTTGAAGTTGGTTGCTAACTGCTCTGTGAGTATGTACAAAGTGTATGGGATCTTTGACTTCATAAATAGTATTGTGCCCAAAAGTGGGCACGTTATGATGAAATGTTATAAAGTAATGCTGAGGTCACAACTAGAAAGTGGCATTGAGTTCTGGTCAAGATACTTTGGGAAGAATGTGAGGATCCTTTAGAAAGGATTTGCTAGAATGATTCGGGAGTCAAGGGATTTTATTGACAAGGTTAGGCTGTTTAAAGTTGGCATTGTTCAAAGGAGATTGAGATTTGATTACGAGTTTTTCATAGAATCCCTACTGTGTGGAAACAGGCCCTTCACCCCACCAAGTCCACACTGAACCTCGGAGCACCCCACCTACTCTATACCTCCCTGAATGCTATGGGACAATTCAGCATGGCCAATCCACCTTTGGACTGTGGGATGAAACCGGAGCACCTGGAGGAAATCCACGCAGACACGGGGAGAATGTGCAAACTCCAAACAGTCACCCCAGGGTAGAATCAAACCCAGGTCTCTGGTGCTGTGAGGCAGCAGTGCTAACCACTGAGCCACCGTGCTGCCCTCAACCTGTTTATATTACAGGTTTAGATAAAATATATAAAAGCTGTTATGATTAGCTAATTCTGCAATGACTTAGAGGCACAGATTGAAATTCTTTTGGCCTGAGCTGCAAAGCTGATGAGAGGAAATCTTTCTTGCTGAGTGAGTGGTTATGTCTTCGAACATAATACCTGTGAGGGTAGGGGAAACAATCTTTATAAAGAAAATTAGGTAGACGTAACAAATAAATCTGCTTAATTCCAGGGCCAGAGGAAGTGAATCTGACTGCTTTGGTCCATAAAGTGCCAGCATGGACTTGATGGATCAATGGCATCCTACAGTGACATATGTTCAAACTGCCAAATCCAACATTAGTCCTAAGGTCTGAGTTAAAGTATTGAGGAAGATTTGATTTGGATGCCTTTAAGAAAAGTCTGTCCATCGTCGACAAGGCATAAGTCAGGACTGTGATGGAATATTCCCCACTTGCCTCCATGAGCGCAGCTCCAACAACGCTCAAGAAGTTTGACATCAGCCGGACCAAAGCAGCCCGCTTGATTGACACCACATCCACAAGCATTCACTCCCTCCACCACCAAAACTCAATAGGACCAGTGTCTACATGTTACAAGATGCATTGCATAAATTCACCAAAGATCTTCCAAACCCACAACCACTTCTGTCTTGAGGGATAAGGGCAGCAGATATAGGGAACATCGCTACCTGTAACTTCCCCTGCAAGCCCTCTGTCAGCCTGAGTTGGCAATATATTGCCATTTCCTCAGTATCATTGGATTAAAACCCTGGAATTCCCTCCCTAATGGCATTATGGATCTACCTCTAACAACTGGACTGTGGGGAGACACTATTCCTTACTACCAAGCATAAGAATTCAGACATACATATATTGCTGTTCCTTCACTGTCGTAGAATCAACGGGCTGGAAGTCCCTATCTAACAGCTTTGTGGGTCAACCGCAGCAGGTGGACTGCAATGGTTCAATTAGACAGCTCACTACCACCTTTTCAAAGGCAACTAGGGAACAGCAATAAATGCTGGCTCATTTTAATGCTCACGCCCCATGAAAGAATAGAGGGAAAACTTGAATAAAGACATTATTTATATAAGTTGTTGTATGTTCAATGTAGTAAAATGCCCCAAAGGCCATCAGAGAAGCAATATCAAACAAAATTTTAAACCCATTAGTGTGTTAAAGCAGGAAAGACAAGACGTTTAATGAGGGAAATCCAAAGCTTTGGGCCCAGCTGAAGCTTAAAACTTTGTGGGGTTCAGATTAGCCTCGTCATTCTAGAGATTGCCAGTTTGTGCAAGGTTATGAAAACAAATATGTTATAGGACTGCAGGTAGACAATGCTCAGGAGGTGTAAATAGGCAGCCTGGGTGCTGAAGCAGACGTGCTTCAGAGAGCTCATCTTGTTGGTAAATTTGAAACCAAAACATAATTCAATAAACACATTCAATATATGTACGGCAAAACATGCGTTTCCTCTCTAATTTTTCAGTTCTTAAAATAATCAAAAAGCGATTTGAAGGTTAAAGGCGAGTGCCGTCAATGGCCAGCTTGCGGAATTACAAGTTTTCACGCATAATTTCGTAAAAAGTAGGTCACACAGAATTTGTAGGAATACCGGGATTGCCAACTGAAACGAAAATCATTTTTTTTCAGCCTTGCTTTTTGATGTAGGAATGGTGCAGGTAGGTTTCTACAGCCTGTGTGTCCTGTTAATTAATGCCAGGGAGAGGTATTGGCAGCTCCTGCTCCGCCTTTGTATGATGACAGTAAGCGGTGAGTGGCGAGTAGTGCACGTCGCTGGCAAACTGCCCAGGAGACGGCCAACAGGGACTGCACGGAATGGAAGCCCAGATCTCAGGACCAGCAATACTCTGCACCGGGTGCCACACAACATGAGCCTGTGCTTCTTGCTGCTGCTCTCCTTAGTACCAATTGCATATGATGAAGGTAAGGGTTGAGCAAAACAATCGTCTCCCTGTGTCCAATCCAATACGCAATTCACTTCTGTCGCCACACTGAGCACAAAGGCGAAGTTTCCATCCAGCGTCAAGTGATTGATGCTTTCAGTGTCTAATTAAGTAACTGACTACAACACTATTCTTGACACTGGACGAATGAGGGTCGAATAGGCGGGTCTTCCTGTAATTGGCAACATCGCCAAACAATTGTTAGAAAGTATCTACGCTAGAGTTTTAGCTGATTGATTTTAAATCCAGGTTTTGGACGCTGCCACTTATTTACAGAATAAACAGAAAATTACAATTAATTTCGTTCCAAAACTTGAAAGGGAAGCCCATGATCTCTGTTCGTTATATATCCGTACTATATCCGAGGCTCTGTTAGAACAGTGATTTATGTTGTTGACTTTAAATCCGCCTCTGATTTTTGATGTGCCCTGTTTGTTTAAAAACAAAATACAATTCTTGAGAGTAATACCGTATAGAACTGGTTAGAGCCTCCTGAATAGTTCTAGTACGATTAACATTTATAAACAAAGCTCAATTTTAAACTGTAATCTCTTCCAGTTCTACCTCAGATCTACATTGGCTTCTGGTCCATCAATGGCTCAATTTTAACATTCCTAGTTCCCTGTCAAAACTGTTTGACGATACTTCCTCTAACACTTCGCTGATTATTGGGAGTAGACTGATAATTTTCCTCCCCACCCTTATCTGCTTTCCGGAGGGACCACTCGCTCCGTGACCCCCTTGTCCGCTCCACACTCCCCTCCAGCCCCACCACACCCAGCACTTTTCCCTGCAACAGCCGGAAGTGCTACACCTGCCCCTACACCTCCCCCCTCACCCCCATCCCAGGCCCCAAGAAGACCTTCCACATCAAGCAGATGTTCACCTGCACATCTGCTAATGTGGTATACTGCATCCGCTGTTCCCGTTGTGGCCTCCTCTACATCGGGGAAACCAAGCGGAGGCTTGGGACCGCTTTGCAGAACACCTACGCTCGGTTTGCACTAAACAACTGCACCTCCCAGTCGCGAACCATTTCAACTCCCCCTCCCATTCCTCAGACGACATGTCCATCCTGGGCCTTCTGCAGTGCCACAACGATGCTACCCGAAGGTTGTAGGAACAGCAACTCATATTCTGCTTGGGAACCCTGCAGCCCAATGGTATCAATGTGGACTTCACAAGCTTCAAAATCTCCCCTCCCCCCACTGCATCCCAAAACTAGCCCAGCTTGTCCCCGCCTCCTTAACCTGCCCTTCCTCCCACCTATCCCCTCCTCCCACCTCAAGCCCCACCCCCATCTCCTACCTACTAACCTCATCCCGCCCCCTTGACCTGTCCGTCCTCCCTGGACTGACCTATCTCCTCCCTAACTCCCCACCTACACTCACCTTTACTGGCTCCATCCCCGCCTCTTTGACCTGTCTGTCTCCTCTCCACCTATCTTCTCCTCTATCCATCTTCTATCTGCCTCCCCCTCTCTCCCTATTTATTTCAGGACCCCCTTCCCCTCCCCCATTTCTGAAGAAGGGTCTAAGCCCGAAACGTCAGCCTTCCTGCTCCTCTGATGCTGCTTGGCCTGCTGTGTTCATCCAGCTCTACACCTTGTTATCTTAGACTTATAATTAGGTTGGGTTTGTTTTGGTGGGCAAGACATAATTATAAATGTTTTCCCAACATTGGGCAAATGCCAGTATTGTAGCTAGACTGGAACAACTTTGGCCAGAGGAGCAGCCAGTTTGAAAGCATGTTGCAGTTACCCATAATCCCCTAACTTTTACTGTGTCAATGTGCTCAGCCATTTCCTCATATCAAGTGGACAGAATCAAATTGGCTGCATACTGGCATCTGTGATAGTGGGGTCTCCGGAGGGCATTGAGAAGGAGCATCTGCTCTGGTCTGGTTCAAGATGGAAGCAAATTCATATAATCCTGTGACATATTTTCACTAGGTTGGTCACTAATTCCCAGGTAGACCTAGGGCTGCTCGAGGCAACTGTCCTTATTAAATCAAGCTTGGATATATACAGGAGGTCAAAGTTGAGGAAATACAGAGGTCTCAGAGGGCTTTGAACGTAGGAAGTTACAGAAATAGTGAGGGGTGAACCATGGATAGATACAAACATAGAGGATGAGAATCTGAAAGTCAATGTGGTACGAGACTGGGAGCAAATAGATCTTATGATGTGGAGGAAATTGAGTAGCCATTTTTCCTAACTCCCTTCTTTGGCCTACTCTCTAACCGACAGAGCAAGAAACCTCAGTACTGCATGCTGTGGTCTCTTCACTGCAGGAAAACCTGATGAAAGTTCCATCAACAGTCAGATAAAAGGAAGTTATATTTATTACGAGAAGTGTGACTGCTGCCACACTCGTCTCTCTTTTGCCTGCCTTTCCATTACGGCAGTCATGTGGCTATTTCCCAAGGTACAGATTATCCTACCTCCTTCATTTCTTATCTCTCCTCATGCCCACTCTCTTCCTCTGTGCACTTTCTGTCCTCCCTTCTCCATCTTCCCTTTCTCCTTTATCCTATTCCACTTCTCATGTTGCTCCATCACGTGCTGTGCAGGTCATTGACTCAGATTGCTTTTTACAATTTATATCAATGGCATAGATAAGAGGAGCAAAGGCATGGTAGCTGGATTTATAATTGACATAAAGGTACATTAGAAAGAATTTTTGAAAGGGACATGAATATAGATAGGTTTAATGAGTGTGCAAAAATCTCACAGTTGGAGTATAATGAGGAAAAATGTAAAGTTGTTTACTTTAGCAAGAAGATGAAGGAAAGAGTATTAATTAAATGGAGAACAACTGCAGAAATCTGAGGTGGAAAGGGATTTAGTTGTTGAGGATTTTTTTTATTCACTCCTGGGATGTGGGTGTCGCTGGTGTGTCAGCATTTATTGCTTGTTCCTAGTTGCCCTGGAGAAGGTGGTGTGAGCTGCCTTCTTGAACTGCTGCAGTCCATGTGCTGTGGGTAGACTGACAATGCTGTTGTGGAGGGAATTTCAGGATTCTGACCTAATGACACTGAAGGTATGGTGATAGATTTCAAGTCAGGATGGTGAGTGGCTTGAAGGGGAACTTGCAGGTGGTGGTGTTCCCATGTATCTTCTGTCTTTGTCCTTCTAGATGATAGTGGTTGTAAGTTTGGAAGGTGCTGTTTAAAGATCTGTGTTGAATTTTTTCTGTGCATCTTGTAGATAGTACACACTGCTACAACTGAGCATCAGTGGCAGAGGAAGCGGATTTTTGAGGATGTGGTATCAATCAAGCTTTATCTTGGATGGTTTCAAGCTTCTTGAGTGTTATTGGAGATATACCCATCCAGGCAAGTGGGGCGTATTCCATCCTGACCTGTGCCTTGCAGATGGTGGACAGGCTTTGGTGAGTCAGGAAGTGAGTTACTCGCTGCAGTATTCCTGTCCTCTGACCCGCTCTTTTGCCACTGTATTTATATGGTCTCCTTATTTAAGGAAGGATGCAAATGAGTTGGAGTTGGTTCAGAGAAGTTTATTAGATTGGATCACGGAAGTTCTTGTATGCTCAAAGATTAGACAGATTGGCTTGTTTCCAGTGGAGTTTTTAAGCGCAAGGGGTAACTTGATTGAAGTATATATGACACCCCACTTGATGACCTTGACATAGTGGGTACTGAAAGCATAATCGTGAAGTGGGAGAGTACTTTGGAAACAGTGATTACAACTCCTTAAGTTTTAAAATACCTATGAATAAGAACAATTCAGAACCTTGCAGGAAGGTACTAAATTGGGGGAGGGCAAATTATGTCAGTGTTAGGCAGGAGTGTTAATTGGGAGGAGCTGTAATTGATCAAGCCCATATTTGACATGTGGCAATTTTTTAAAGACCGATTGATCAGAGTTCAGGACCGACACATTTCAGTAAGGAGGAAAGACAAGGATGGCAAGGTGAGGGACCCTTGGATAACGAAGGACATTATGAATTTTGTAAGTGGAAAACAGAAGCATACATGAGGTTTAGGAAGCTAAAATCAGACAGGGCTGATAAGGAATATAAAGAAAGCAGGAAAGCAGTCTAACAGGGAATTAGGAGAACAAGAAGGAGCATTGAAATGAGCTAGACAAGTAGGGTTAAAGAGATTCCCAAGGCATTCTATACATACATTAAAAATAAGAAGATAACTAGGGAGGAGGTAGGACCACTCAAGGGTAAAGGAGGGAGCCTGTGCTTGAAAGCAGAGGATGTGGGTGAGATCCTAACTGTGTACTTTGCATCAGTATTCATCCAGGAGAAGGATATGGAGGATAGTGAGATTTGTGTGGAGCATGCTAATATGCTCGGGCATTTTGAGATCAAGAAAGAAGTGGTGTTGGATCTCTTGAAGAGCAGTAAGGTAGATAAGTCCCCAGGGCCCGATGGTATCTAACCCAGGTTATTGAGAGAAGCAAGAGAGGAGATTGCTGGGGCCTTGACCAAGATCTTTATATCTTCGCTAGCTATGGAGAGGTTCACAGAGGACTTGTGAGTAGCTAATGTTGTTCCTCTGTTCAAGAAGGGAAATAGGGTTAATCCAGGAAACTATAGACTGGTGAGTCTCACATTGGTGGTTAGGGAGCTATTGCAGAGGTTTCTTAGGGATAGGATTTACCCACATTTGGAAAAGCATGATCTGGTTAGGGACAGTTAGCATGACTTTGTGCAGGGCAGGTCATGTCATACCAACTTGATTGATTTTTTTGAGGAGGTGATGAAGGTAATCAATGAGGGGAGAGCAATGGATGTTGTCAAATGGATTTTAGTTAGACTTTTGACAAGGTCCCTCATGGTAGGCTCATCCAGAAGATTAAGACCAATGGGATTCATGGTGACTTGGCAGCTAGGATTCAGAATTAGCCTGCCCATAGAAGGCAGAGGGTGGTGGTAGAAGGGTGTTTTTTTGGCTGGAGGTCCGTGACTAGTCGTGTTCCGTAGGGATCCATTATGGGACCTCACC